CAAAAAGTGTTTCAAACTCTCACTCATACGAATCGGTGGTTATATTTATATACATTATATATATTTTTTCAATGTGTTAATGAATATCATTACCCCGAGTACACCATGTAATCATCGGTTGTAATGAATACTATGTACTGATTTGATACATGGTTATTATTAGATAATGTTATTACACTTGTCTGTCATTTTAATTAAAACATTGAGAACTAAAAATAAATGGCTTTTTAATTAATAATTAAATCATACATGACTTGAAAGTAATATATTCAATTATATACTGTATATAAAGTTGTACATTGGGCAATAACCTCACCGTAGGCTTGGTAGTGAACAATTAAATTTTAATATTAGACTTAATTTTGCAAATATGACATAGATTGGCCCTGTTTGCAAAATTATAAGACAGGTTATCTATTTGTTTTAGCACATTAAGGACACATTTTTTAGCCGTATATATCCCTCGAGTCATCACCGATTGTCTAATAATATGTGTGTTTAGATAATATCGATTGCATTGTAATGTGTAATGATTAGCTATAACCGTATAATTATATTTTTATCAATCCCCACAACTACAGGTGCTTCACGACCACATATCATACCGGTACGAGATACTGGAGGTGATTGGGAAAGGCAGCTTTGGACAAGTGATCCGTGCGCTCGACCATAAGACCAATCAGGAGGTGGCCCTCAAAATCATCAGGAATAAGAAAAGGTCAGTTATATATATATATTGCATAATAAAATAGTAATATATATACACATTTTTATTGCATATATATATTTAGAAACATTATATTTAGATGTTTGAAATTGATTTTTTGGTATTAATAAATAAACATAAATAATAACTACCGTATGTTTTTAGAGTACATTAAACAAAATATACAGTATTGGCAAAAAATATATAAAACTACTGAATAGGCTATTATGCAGTTAGAAATATGTGTAATAATTTTTATAAATAATTTGTTAGGGGGAATTATGTCATTTTATTTATTGTACACTATTTATAGCGCTTTACTATAACGAGACTCAACCGCTAGTGTAATATTATAGCCGTTTTTACTACTTTATAATAATGAGTGGTTTTATAATATAAATTTTATAGTGATATGATATAATATTTTTTTATGTTTATATGTTTAGTACATGAGTATTATAGCACTAAACATTAAAATATAGTGTAATAAACGCACTGAATTGCCTAAATTAATGTCCTTTTTGTTTATTATTATTATTTGGATTTTTTTCAGTTTAGTTGTTGTGATGGGTTGTTGTCTATGATATGTATGTGTTAGCGATGTTTAAGGGAAAAGGGGACAGGTATTCATAGCACTCAACTAATAAAAGTTTTAAAAATAGATTTTTTGTTACTTTTGTGAAAGAAGAGTAGTTTTATTATTAGGGAGAGAGAGAGAGAGAGAGAGAGAGAGCTTTTAGTGATGAGAAAAAAGTTTATTTTGCATTTCATAGAGAACTTTAAATTTGTGTCAAAATATGCTTTTTGTTTGAATGAGTTTTTAAAAATTTCAAAGTGTTTTGAAGTTATTTAAGAGTCAAGTGATTTGGGAGCACTTTGTCGTACAGTTTAACCCTGGCTATATTGCACATCAGGCATGACTTAACATTGATATAATTTAAATAAAATATATTGAAAAAATAGTAATTATAATATTTTAGTATAAATATCTCAATTAAGTAGCGATTTATTGAATATATTATTTATTTTACATGTTTACTATAAATAACTAGACATTACATTATTAACATTAACTATAATTAACATTTAATGCGTGAAAATAATTTTTAGTTTAAAACGTTGATTTACTCCACATTTTAAAGTTAATGAAATGTTTGTATGTAGTATATAATTAGCTTCACTATAACGAGAGGTTATTGTATTTATATGTGAATCTAATAATGAAAAGTTTAGTTAAACTTAATTAGTTAATACAGTGTTTTTTGAAAAATAATTTTCTTTTTACTCGTAAGCAATAAACTCAATCTATTTTTGGGATTTTTAGCGTATAATATAAATAATTTGTGAAACAAAATAAAGATTTTTAATTTAAAAAACTTTTTTTTCACTACAAGTTTTGCCACAATATTAGCCTCCTTTCTGTGGGCAAAAAAAAGTTAATAATTATCTCTAATATAAAACTAATAAGTTTTCTGGTTCAAATAAATTAAATTCAAGTGTCATTATAGAAAAAGTTTTTTAAATAAGTTTGTTCAGCGTTTTTTAATTTAAAAAACTAATTGAGACAAAACTTTCAGATTATTAATGAAAGAAAAGTTTAGAAAATTTTTCTAATTTCTCTCAGTCTATGAAAATTGATTTATTGATAAAGTTTTTGCGAGATTTTTGTTGTGTTTGTCGTTTAGGGAAATGAAAAAATATATTTCATTTTTTCTAATTAATAAATATATGAATTAGTGTTAGGGAGAGAAACATATATTAATTATAATCCCATTAATTATTTTGTATAATAAACTACAGAAGCGTTTCGTTTGTATTACAAGTTATTTATTATATTAAACACAAGAACTTAAACAATAAGTGATTCCCAAATGAGAGAGAGAGAGAGAGAGAGAGAGAGCTGATAAGAATTTGTTGAATTGAATTCAAATATTATTTATTCAGTATGATTTTAAAGGCATCCCTTCCCACACATTGCACACAATGGGGAGCAATGTGTATGTGAAACATGTTGTATATCCCTATCCCATTGACCTCATATTTAATGCCATTAAATTGCATATTAAAAACTTGTATTCTCTCTCTCTCTCTCTCTCTCTCTCTCTCTTACTGTGAATAAAACGTGATTATAAACAGCGAGTGAGTGAGTGAGTGAGTGAGTAAGTTAGAGAGAGAGAGAGAGAGAGAGAGAGAGAGAGAGACTGAATAAAAATACACACTTTTCTATGAAATGCGAAATATATGTCAGCAGTTGTTGTGTTTATATTTGTTTTTTATTTAGTAATTCTTATATAATATATGTATTCAAACACTTTATGCCAGTTATAGTGAACTAAATAAATGCATTTCACTATAAAAGTGCATTATATTCGCAACAAATTAAAGGCTTTTTTATTTATTTTTTGATTCGTTTTGTGAGTTATATAACGATTTTATTATTACGACTATCGGTATAGCTATCGACACACAAAAAAGGCATAATAAATGGCTTTTCGTATTATATTTTCTCTTACTTTTATATGTGACTCGCATTTATTTCATACAATTATTATATATATAATTATTAAGAATAAATATTTTATTTATTGAGCTTTTTGTACATGCACAAAAACATCAATTGAATTTTGTATTAATTCCGATGTATTTCTAAGAAATGTATATATATTTCAATCGTCGATAGCGTAACCCATTTGTGTTTCCCGATTGAATTACATGTGTTTTACTCAATAAAACATATGATTTCTTGATTTGATTTGATTTCTTACAAAATATATGTTTTTCGTATCGATTTATGCGTTACATTAAGCCTTTAGAAAATTTTTGCACAAAAAAATCAATAATAATCATAAATATATTGATTATGGGGTTATGTATGCAAAATAAGTTTCACGAAAAGTCAGAGGATTTTGATCTAAAAAATTATTTATGAATTATTTATATGGATTAGTATGGATTAAACTTGTTATTAATTAAATTACTTAGCAATTGTGTGTAAACTACCCTTCCCAGCTATATCAACAAAATATTTTAATTTAAATCTCTGAATAAATCATTTGATTTTTTAAAACTATTTATTTAATTCACAAATAAAAGTTGATAGTCAGGAGACATACAGTAATTAATAATGATTATAAAAAATAGTTTTTCTTAATTTTGTGGACTTTTTATAATTCACTGACAGTATTGTTAATATTGTATAATATTTGCGAAAATATCAGAGTTCATTGGTGAAAAATGTTGTGTAATAATAAATAAAACAAATAATTTATAAAACAAAACAAAACCAAAAATAAATAAAGTATAAGATTTAAAAAAAACTTCAGTATGATTTTTATAGCCATTATAATAAAATGCAATCAATTTTGGCGATAAAATGGATTCACTATATTTTGTTTGCTATTCAATTGAAATGAATATAATAAATCATTTACTTTTTTTGTGTACACTTACATAATAGTATTATAAAACATTAATCGCTATTTCATATAATATTTGTATAAATTGGCTCGACTTTTGTAATATGTATAAAATAAATACAAATATATTAATTAATCTCGATCACCGGCACACATACCCGTGCCCTCCCTTTCTCTCGCTTTATCTCTATTTGAAATTAATTGAAAATGATTTTTCATAAAACTTTGTTTTATTTCATTGACATCAAAATGCATGATTTAAATCATTAAAATTGATAAATAATACAAACAAATCAATTGATATATTTTAATAGAGTTTTGTAATATAGCATAATCCATATATACTATAAATATCACACACTTAAACTAATATAAAACTAGCATTAAACGAGATTATTATTACTTATATAAATGTTTGATTTATTTTTATAAGTTTTTAATCCGTGTACAATCGCTATAATAAACATTACAGTAATATATTTTAATGTAGGACTTAAATAAAATAAATATTATGTACACAATATTAATGGCATATACCTGTATTCTTGAGTACAGAATAATTTACTACTACTAGTAGTAATACATAAATAAATATACATGAATAAAAGTAAACTACTATAAATAGCCCGTACATATACATTAAATTCAAGGGTATTACGAAATAGATATGAACATTAAACTTGAATCTATAATTGAAAATGCAAATTGGAAATATAATCCTGGTATTATTGTATTTTGCGATCTATGTAGGTTCCATCAGCAAGCACTTGTCGAGGTGAAAATACTGGAGCACATCACCAAACGTGATAAGGACTGCCACCACAACGTGATCCATATGTTGGACTATTTCTACTTTCGTAACCACCTGTGCATCACATTTGAGCTACTGGGGTGAATATCCATGTTATTATCCCTTGAAACAGAATATTCTTATATAAGAGAATATTCATACGTAATATTTGTATGAGCAGTCCTAAGTCGAGTACACGTGACCTTATATACGATACTAGGAATATGATACACGTGTTTACTCTGTATATTAATTATATTAAAGAATTCACAGAATTTTAATTAATATTTATGCATTCAGAATTTAATTGAATTTATAAACAAGTCGCCTACTTAAATAAATATTTGTCTAGAATTGAGCATAAATTGTAAAACTAAATAAAATTTCTACAGAATCTATATATTATTAAACAAAAGTTATTATTCTGTAAACTTTTAACTCACATTAATTAATAAACTTTAATTTTAAAGCCTATATTATTAAGTTAATAACATAATCCTATATTAACTTGATAATTAAATTTCATACAATTAGTTTAGTAGTAAATACGTTAAATATATTTTACATAGATAGTTATTTCAATTTAAATATTTAGCTACATTTCCAGTGCATTCACATTCGTGTAAATGAGTGCAGAATTTAGCAGAATATCACATTACACTACATTAGGATTAGCAGTATATTTACATTTAATGCTCCAAATAATGATAACACTTATCACCACGATTATCATAAATTGTTTACATTATAATCAAATTACGATTGTTTGCCACGACTTTAGGGTCAACCTATACGAGTTAATCAAGAAGAATAATTACCAGGGTTTCAGCATAAACCTCATCAGAAAGTTTGCGCACTCAATGGTACAGTGTTTGAAACTACTGTATAAAGAGAATATAATACACTGTGATTTGAAACCAGTAAGTCAATTATATTACCATGATATTAATTTTATACAAGTTTAAATAAATTTATTATAGTGTGGAAATTTATTTGAAACTTAATTTGCATGGAAACAAACAAATTATTAAGTTTGCGATAATTTTATACAAATTTTGAACAAATTTATTACATACCTAATAGTTTGGAAATTTATTTAATTTAATATGCTTTATAACATTAGTAAATATAAGGTTAACTAGTTCAGATTATTGTATTATTTTAAAATTTTATTTTTTAACCTGATATTTTAGCATCAATTATTTTTTGCTAAATATATCCTAAGATATCTTAAAATAAGTTTTGAAACAATTTATTCGATGTTTAAAATCATTTTATTACTCAAAACGAGAGAAAGAAATACAAAAAAAAAGTTTTAATTTAAAAGACAAATAATTTTTCGTAAAACATTAAAATGAGAATTATTAATAATAAATTCAAATAATATATTAATTAATATTATTATCATATTAAAAGACTTTTAAAATACAAGNAAGAAATAAAAAAAAAGTTTTAATTTAAAAGACAAATAATTTTTCGTAAAACATTAAAATGAGAATTATTAATAATAAATTCAAATAATATATTAATTAATATTATTATCATATTAAAAGACTTTTAAAATACAAGTCTTACTAGAAATTCTCTACACTGTATTTTGCACAATAAGGTACAGCACGTGTATAGAGAATATAATATATATATATTCATTGAATTACAGTATATAATAAGACTAATCATTGAAATTCTGATATAAAAAACTGAATTCAAAATAACAATCGAAATCACAACATAGAAAAACGAAACGCTTTTGTGTTTTTTCATTATACAAGTGTTTTTTCACTCGTGTTTTATACAAAAAACAACTAATTTTTTCATTTTTATATATTACAGAGTTGTGTCTGACATAAGACACTCAAAAAACTTTTGAATTTGTTTGTGTCAATCGTTTTTATATTGTTTCCGTATGTGATCTCACTTTTTCACTAAAAATTATATATAAATTACACGAAATATGTCCGCAAAATTGTGTCCAAAAAAAATTGTCACTTGTGTATCAGTATTTTTTTTGGTAGTTTTTGTCACAGAATTTGTTTTTTTACACAGAATTGTCGACAGAATTTGTGTCTATTGTCTACAGAATCGGCGGCAAAAACGCTGAGTTCGGGTCCATCAGCGGGTCGTCGATCGAGTGGTTGTGTTGTGTCGACCCGTTTTGGCTGTACTTCCCGTTCGTGAGCTTCAGGTTCACTATAATTACAGACAAAACACACATTAAATACCATAAAAATTTCAAATTCAAACACTAATTAACATCTTATTAATCAAAAACAAACAAAATCTGTTCATTCATTAATTAACAACACATTTATTAATTGAGTTACGGGTGAGAGACATACGCGAGTCGTCGGACGAGGCCCTTATGATTCTGGTAGGGCTGACCCCCATAGCCGACTGGACGAGCTTTTTCTGGACAATTAGTGTATTAGTTAACCCGCATTGACTTGAGTCAAACGCCCGTAATCAGACTTAAGCCGAGTGAAATATATGTAAGCTCAGATATCAATCACATGTTTTTTTTGTTTGTTTTTCTTGGTTCAATTATCAATACAATTGTGATTAATTTTTAATATAGTTAGTGATTAGATATTAATTAGTCTAAGTCTAATAAAATTATAATGAACCCCTTTAAATTAAAATTAGTCTACAAAAATATCTGTTAAAATACTTTCTAACTTGTGAAATATTTGTTGAAATATTTTTAGAGTTCATTATAATTTCATTTGAATGCATATGTCGTATACCATAAATACTGTATAGTATGCTTATAGTGTACACAACATCATGCACTTATTTGTGTATTCCGTGTACACTATAAACAATGAAACTACTGGTGAAACATACAGTTAAGTCTATTATAAATTATGCGTTTGTGAACTTAACTGAAAGCTATGATTAAATTATAATTTATTTATCAAAAAACGACTCTACATTTACGACTAAAAACTCAATTATAATGAAATTAAAATAAAAAACTATTCCTATACTGTATTATAGAAATGCAAACTTTATTGTCCACTGCATAATAGACTACACGATATATTCACGACTTTAAAAAGTAGCCTAAAAAACATGAAAACACGGTATGAATGCAAACCTGTTTCGATTTCCCTAACCGTTAACGACTGAATCGATTTGGCAGTACTACTGGTCCTACGGTTATTGGACTCCAACTTATTATTCATAATATTGTTGTGATTGTTGTTAATCGCAGTGATATGGTTGTAGTGTCCGGCCAGCCATACGTGCTTACAGGCCTCGTCGGGGGTCATCCGATGCATGGGATTCCACCTATAAATACAAATATCTTAATCAGTAAATAGTTATCAATTTGTAATTAGGTTCAAGAATATCACAATAATATTGTTTGAATTATTAAATAATATTTAAGTTTATATATATATATAATTAACTTCGTAATATGTAATAATATTATTAGTAATATGATATTAATGTATTGTAATTACTATTAGTATAATATTTTTAGCTAGATAAATATGTATGATTCTCATTAAATTGCAATAATATTCCTAGGTAAACACCATTATTGCTTAATAATAACATATAATATAATAATATAATTTATAAATAATAATGTAGATCCTTTTATATACTAAAAACAAACCAATCTTAATACAAGATTGTATAACTAATTTGATGCTATTTTTTAAAATAATAAATTATTATTAATAATAATTCACATAATAGTGGGACTGAAGCCCATATGGTTTACGTATATTCAGCGATGACTTACTCTAAGCAACGGCTGAGAAAGTCGACGAAATCGTTGTCATTGCAGTTGAGGGCCTGACCTAACGGTTTGGACCCGGGTTTGCGTTTCTTTCCCTTACTGTTAGTCGTGTTTCGAGGGTTTCCTTTTGAATCTGAAATACAATTATCAGTCAAACATTATTATTAGATTTTAAGATTATTATTAGATTATTATTAGCCTTTCATAGCCATATTACATTAGCATGCCTATAGTTTTATATCAATTATAGAACTTTTCAATTAATTTGCAATTAAAGTAGCATGTACAAAGTATAATAAAAAATAATAAAAATGGATAACATTCTCGGAATAGATTACAAAAAAATGTCATTTAATTAGAATAGGGTTTCAAAAAGTATTTTTTATTTGTTGTGTTTTCTCATTAATGTAATTGAATTCTTGATTTCTCATGAATTTTCTATTAATTCTTTCGTTGAAACAGTGGCGAAAACTTTGAGTTTATATGTTTTAGTTTGAAAAATATAAATTAAATATCAAATTCAATAAAATAAATTGTATTCAAGCCTTTTGATGGTGGGCACTGTATGTCTACAATAAAGCATAGAATATTCTGTAAATATATAGACAGAAGCAAATAGATAGAGAATATTCTTATATTGATTCTTAGAATATACGTGTGTAGAGTAGCGCTAAAAATATTCAATACAAATACAGAATCTATTATTTAATCTGAGAGATACACTGGATTTTTCAGACATACCGTATCGATCAATATATGTGCCTTTCGGTACTGTATTTCGTGTGCGAGTAGTGTATTGAATGAGTGAATGGCAAAAAATTCTTGTGTCACAGAATAAGCTAAGTCTCTCTCTCTCTCTCTCTCTCTCGTGCACTCACTCACACTCTCCCTTCCAGTCCTCTATGTTCACAGAATTACTTTAACTCCTATTTCATACAAATATAGTAATAGTATAACACTGTGTCATAGAAAAATGGTTTTTCGCACTTGTATTCCAGAAGCAAATTGTTTATCACATATTGTGTTGAGAGAGAGAGAGAGAGAGAGAGAGAGAGAGAGAGATTTATATAAGTTATCTAACACTAGATAGGAATACGATTGCGATGTCGTGAATAGAAAATTAAATTTTTGTCTTTCGCTCGCGAAAACAAATTCACTCCTAATATATATCACACTTATATAGAAATTCTTGTCATCATTCGCGACACACACACAGGAATTCATTGTACGGCTTGACTCTCGACTTAATATGCAATTTATTATATGACATGAAATTTTATAATGAAATGGATTAAATACTTCCGGATGTGTAGTATTTATCGATATTCTGCTCACACATTGGGTAATAAATCATAAACTATAACAAGTAGTGACAGACAATAAATTTGTTGTTCAATATATATGTCTAAAGAATTTATGGAATCTTCTTATATATAAACCACAAAATTGTTTAATATATATACTCTCTCTCTCTCTCTCTCTCTCTCTCTCTCTCTCTCTCTCATGAATCAAAATAATATACTTGTATTAAATTGAATTTCGAGTACTATTTTGAATAAGTTATATAAGTTATATATGAAACTTAACTTTAAACTATAGTAAATAAATAAATAACCAAATATCTACAGATTAAAAAAATCAAATTTAGGGTAATTCCTTGTGTAATAGATATATAAATATATAATTAATACCGTACTACACACTCATTCACTGAATGCAAACTATCATTACAAAACATACGGTACTATGATATGATTCACCACATTGTTTGTCGAAACAATAATTTATAGTTCAATAAACATAATTACAGTTATTAAACAGTAGATTGTGTTTTGTATTTAAGAAAATATATATAATATATAATATACTGACCGAAAAACAATCGCCGTCTGGTCGACGCCTCCAGCACTGACAGAGGGGGCGTACCTACCAAATGATATCATATATATTAGTGTTTTTGCTTACAATGATGTCCATTATTCTTGTTTTCGCGAGCGAAAGACAAAAATTTAATTTTCTATTCACGACATCGCAATCGTATTCCTATCTAGTGTTAGATAACTTATATAAATCTCTCTCTCTCTCTCTCTCTCATGAATCAAAATAATATACTTGTATTAAATTGAATTTCGAGTACTATTTTGAATAAGTTATATTACATTATATGAAACTTAACTTTAGACTATAACAAATAAATAAATAACCAAATATCTACAGATTTTAAAAAATCAAATTTAGGGTAATTCCTTGTGTAATAGATATATAAATATATAATTAATACCGTACTACACACTCATTCACTCAATGCAAACTATCATTACAAAACATACGGTACTATGATATGATTCACTACATTGTTTGTCGAAACAATAATTTATAGTTCAATAAACATAATTACAGTTATTAAACAGTAGATTGTGTTTTGTATTTAAGAAAATATATATGATATATAATATACTGACCGAAAAACAATCGCCGTCTGGTCGACGCCTCCAGCACTGACAGAGGGGGCGTACCTACCAAATGATATCATATATATTAGTGTTTTTGCTTACAATGATGTCCATTATTCGGGATTTCATAAAAAAATTTAAATCATTTTATTGTATTATTATTATTCAGTGATATATAGGTTAACATTAGGCACACATCCACACAGAATAGCAGTGTTTGTATGCCATTAACTCTACCCATGATTTGCTTTTTTTCATTATTGGTTTACAACAATAAAAGTCTATTGTCTTTGTGTTTAATAGGTTTTGATTTGTATATTAAATCAGTTTTAATTTTATGTAAAGTTTCTATCATGAACACTTAGGTCTCAATACAATATACACAAATATTTTATGCTACAAATTTTATGCTGTTTGTATAATCATTTACCACTAGATATTAAAAATATTATTAGGTATAAAATAAAATACAGTATAAATACAAAAATCTAAATATTATTGCGTTTATAACACAGACCTAGTTCACAAATCTAAATGGTTTACAATATCGGGAGTACACTATTAACGGGGAAGATGTGTATTAAAAAAGTTTTTAATTTCAATTGACATTAATCTCATATATTATTTATTATACATTTCTCTCTCTCTCTCTCTCTCTCTCGCAAAACCAAATGACTGACGGTTTTATTGTGTGACTGACTGTCAGTGAAAAACTCATTATTCATTCATTCATTCATGACATAAGAAATGGGTTTTCATTTTAAACGCTATTAAATCTTAAAACCGTTTAATTCGCAAAACATATTAAAAACGCTATTCATCTGTAATATTACATAAAAAACTGCTTCAATCCTATAGTTGAATACTTATTGAAACAAAAACTAAACATTATAATAATATGTGAAAAAATTTAAGTCGATTTTTAAGAGCTATCTCCACTAAACAAAATAAAATATGTATTAAACATATTTGAGATAAAAAGGTGCATTTATTATAATATTTATTATAATAGTATTTTCTTATATACCCAAAAATGTCAAGTAGATATATACCTATAAAATGGGACCGTTATATAAATTAATATAAATCACTGGCAGTTGTGTAATGAATGTCTGTGAATATAATATTGAGATTTATTTCGCGCATTCAATAAAGTGTTACACAAAAGGAAATTAAATAGTAATCTCTCAGCAGTTTTTCATTAAAGTCTCAGTCATTTAATTAAATCCTTTTATTTATCGACTAATACCTGAACACTATAACCAAATTCAGCGCTAATATATCGATAGTAAACCGTAGAAAATGTAATATATTTTAAATAAAAAACCCATATTTAATTACAAACTAAATTCACGAAATGTGGGAAAATTGTAATTTCTACACCAAAATAATGTCTTGAATATATAAATATATAAAAGTTATTAATATTTGATAAGATTTTAATATATTTTACATTTATAATTCATAGACAACGGAGTAGGTGTCATACAATATATTGTGTGAAATAACAAAAAACTTGAAATGATTTTTATGGCACATGTGTTAAGTTGTCATCAAATTTCTATAATAATCGCAAGAATATGCATAATATAAGAAAATGTATGACTTTTTAATACGTTATAAACGCGAGAATATATGCACATAAAGGGCACAACCATTAGCATAACACAACTCCCCATTGTTTTTCGTATTCAAAAAGCAATTTTCATATATTTTAATGTCTATGACATACAATCCTATTATCGATGTATTTAAGACTTTTTAGATATTTAGGTGAGACGGCACTCACTCATGGAGGGGGTATACACTGTCTGTCTGTCCCACTAATCGGATATTTAGGTTTTCATTCAAATGAATTGAATGACAATTTATTGTGTTATCACTCAATATTAGAGTCAAGTCTTAGGATTTTATATAATGTATGTTGAATACAAACTTAGAAATACTTTTAATACGATTACACCGGTGCAATCATTTAATAATAATAAAAAAATATAATTTAATTCACAATATCTAGTATTCACTATTAAAAACCCCTAAAGAATTGGCGTACGAATTGTTGACTCAAATAATGAAATACTATTTTATGCCTAAGAATTCTTATGTTGTATTTCAATATACCCGTAGAATCTAGTCATCAGTATTCTGTGTGTGTTTAGTATGAAAAAAATAAATACAATTCAATATAGAAATGCTCGTATTAATACACAAAACGGGTAGCGAAAGTGAATTATATAATATAGTAATATGTGTAATAAAAACAGCAGCAAGAAACTCCATGAAATATATTTCCGGAATTAAAGGCATAGGAATTCCTGTGAGAAATATCCCAACAATTTTTTTGTGTGCATTTGCTGAGAGGGCCTGGAGTTTACTACTAATTGTGCTGATAATATATATACAGTAAACCCATGCACGCTATTGTGTCGAGATTATTTTGAGAGGATATACTACTTTCATATAATGTATGGGAAATGTTGTGTCCATAAGTGGGAAAAAGTGTAATTTTTTCAGTACACTATAGGATATAGAAAATTAACTGCAGTCCAGTACTTCATAACATGTTGTGTTCATTAATAACTATAACATATTTTATATTGAATAACCAATAGGGTTATAAAGAGGGTACATTGTATATTAATAAATAAGAAATCATTATTTATAACAACAATAATAATAATAATAACAATACAATAGTAAAAATAAAAATCCAAAACTTTTATGTATACTTTATCTGATTACATGTCCGACACTCTAATTAATTAACTTAATTAAAACATGTTATTTTCTACGACAACAAAAATAAAACTAAATATTAATTAATTATTTAATTGTGTGAATCAGACAACAAAGTGAGCGCCGGTATGTGTGCTTAGAAACCCGTATTTTATATTTTTGCAAGTAATGGGATAGTAATCTATTTTGGATCAAATAGTTAACGGTTATGTATATTATTATAAATTTTTTATAGCCCATGAAAATGAGGTGAGGGTGAGGTTTGGGGGTGAAGTGGCTATCAAACCATAAATCCTTGTTTTTAAATACCAATTAAGCTATAATTAAATTATATTAGACCCGTATATCACTGAACATAAGCATACAAATTGCTCATTAAGGTGTATTAAATCAAATATAGAGCACCATGGTCTAGTTAATAACATGTTAATTAGTGAGGGATAGGTAGGGGCTTACTCACCGATAATCTCCATAATGCACAGCAGCTGGTCACCCTCATTTTCACCCGGGAATATGGGATAACCGGTGTATAGCTCGGCTAATATACATCCCAAACTCCATACGTCTATCGATGTGCCATACGGTAGACCCAGAATGACCTGTCATATAGTATTAACAAAAATGTTATTATTTGTCTAGTATACAAACACTTCAGTAATACTAAACACAGAGAATTATTACACACAAAAAAAACACAAATCTATAAATCAATTGAATAGCGAATCTCCAAAGAAAACTACAAAACTATTAATACAAATAACAATTGAGTTTTATATATACAATATAATATGAGTGGACATAAAAAATTGAACACAATTTTCAAATGCCATTCGTATTAAGTGTTGTGAGATTTTCTCTACAAATACTTTCATTATAAAAAAGTCTATTGTGTTCATGAAATACACTATTGGAGTGCTATTATTGAGTGCACTATTAAGTCCAAAAACCATTGAGAAAAGGGTCAAATGATTCATTACTTTTACTCTACTTTTTATCTTTTTTGACACTTATAGCCCTTTCACTACATGCTCTCTCTCTCTCTCTCTCCCTCTCTCTCTCTCTCGGCTATATCTTATCAAATGTATTGATCTATTTGTTATCCAGAGTATATTTCTTGAGACTATTTTTCACGCGAAACACTATACGTTTTGCTAGCAATTCTCCAAACAAAAAGTTATTATTATTTTATTTATATATACAGTAGAGATAGGAGTGAAATAGAAAATGAAAATACAGTACAAAAAGCAATTCAACATAAAAGAGAAAAACGTTATTAAAAATTAAACATAAAATAAACTCTCAATTCATTGCCATTGGGACACACGATAGGCTGCAATGAGAAAGGTCTGCCGTATAATGAAATTACAGACCATTTGTTGACTTGTTTTGTAATCTTAATGAATTATATATCATATTCTTGCTCAACATATAAGTTAACCTTTTCTAATTAACCCTGTATCATTTGTTTGAACGAGTACTGTCAATTGTCTAATACACAATATAATTACTATAATAACTGTTTTCAGTATCCAGAAAATATACTGAACTATTTTGCAATTATTATTATTATAAAAATTGATTCTGAGTATAAATAGTTAAAATAAAAATAGTATTTTAACTGCACATTAAATTTATAGTTTGTACACAGAAATACATTTCTCATAATAATCATAAATAAATTTGATTTATTACAATAGACTAAACTAAAAAATAATAGATATATTCTGTATGTACTACCTAATAAAATATTCATACAATATATTCTCATTTATTACAAACAATTTGCTGGAGTTTTATCTCGTTTCGCAGTTATAGCGATAGCCAAACCGTTATATTATATGAAAAATATTAAAAATTAAAACTAAAGACCCAAATGGTGTGCAAGTATTGTGGAAATGGATGGCAAACAATGGTTTACAAACCTCGGGCGACCTATAGAAGCGGGACTGGATGTATGTGTAGACCCGTTGGTGTGCGAAGCATGAGCTCCCGAAGTCGATCACCTTGATACTGGAGCTGCCCTTTTGCTTAAGTAATATGTTTTCCTAGTTTATAACACAATGTAAAATGTCATTAGTTTTCATATAAAATTTTGTATTTTTACTAGTTAGCAACTAATCGTAAAACATTATTAATAATTATGTAGAGAAATTAGATTTTGTCTGTTCTAGGAGATATTTTGAATAATTTATTACTTTATTTATTGTATGTAGAAATTATTTATAAATTGTATGAATAGAATTTATAATAATTTAATAAAAGTGCTAAAGTCTAGTTGAAAATTCAGTATATGCCATTGATTATAGTGAGTAGACTACAGTATACATCAGACTCCTCAAAGTTTGACTCTCAGAGTCAAATTGTTTACACGTTTTTAATATCCTTCATATGTTTGGCTCACAAATATAGTAACACATCAGAGTGAGTCAGAAATATAAAGCAAAAAATTGTAAAATAAAAACTGTAATTTTTAAATAAAGCATTTATTTTAGTATTTTTATGTCTAAAATAATGACTAACTCATAGAAATATATCTGATTAGTTTCTATCAGTTAAGTTCGCGAATATTTTTGAAACTATAATTCTCTACTAAAAATCAATATAGAAATGTCTAGAAATTTCACATTTACAGGTTACTTTAAATATGTAAAAATAGTAATGATATTTGTGTTTGTAAAGTACTTTATCTACTGATAATCTATATAAAT